TGTTCAAAAAGGGAAACCTTTACGACATAGGCAACTATTACTCAATCTGCTTGCTGTCCGTTGTCATAAACTCTTCACTAGAGCCATCCTGAACAGTGTGACAAAACACAGGACGAAGGACAGCCATGCGAAAACGCAGGTTTTGAAAAGGATTTAGTACCATAGATCACATCCACATGATCGCAAGACTCATTGAGGTTTGATGAGAGTACAAACAACCATTCTGTCTCACTTTCATCGATCTGAAGAAAGCTTTGATTCAGTGGAAACAGAAGCAGTTGCAGAGGTTCTAGATAACCAGGGCATCTCTACTCGGTACATAATGAGCCGTCGTGAGCTTCACTGAGATTTCACGACCAAAATGTCTTCATTCCCTAGCAATATCACCATTGACGTAAGAAGCGTGGTTCAACAAGGCGATACAATTTCGCCAAACTATTCACTGCCACCCTACAAAACGTCGTGAGAGCATTAGAATGGGATGATATGGAAGTGAAAATTGACGGTTGACAATTGAACCATCTTCGCTTTGCTGACGATATCGTCCTCCTAACACCAAACAACAGCCAAGCGGAGCGAATGTTGACCGATTTCAGTAACTCCATTCACGCTCAACGGAACGAAAATCTCCCAATGCTCCAGTTACGTCTATCTAGATTGTGAAATCAACATGAAGAACGACCTAGCTCCAGAGTTGTGCAGGAGGAAACGAGCGGTTTGGGAACGTTTAAGAGCAACGAAGATGTAGCAAAGAGGACAAAGAACATCCGACTCCGCCTCCACCTTTTCGACTACCATTATCCTGTGATCAAACGTTTGCAGCAAAAACCTGGCCACTACGTAGCAGGATGAAAGATCACTTGGCGTTATGAACGCGCAGTAGAAAAGTCGATGCTAAGGAGTATCCCGTATCTCGCAAATCGAGAAAAAGGATCCAAAGCTCCGACCTATGTCAACGAGGGAAGATCAGAGAGGCCGTTCTATACGCCACGATATCGAAAAATAAGGTGTGCCGGACAAGTGGTGTGCTTCAACGACAACCGATAGACGAGAGCCGTTAGCGACTAGATTCCTCAGAAAATCAAACGCTCTACAGGAAGACCACCAAGTCGTTGGTCCGATTTCCTCACGAAAGGTATACAATAAATATATGATGCTCAGGAAATCCCTAGCGCGAGGAGGATCCACTGGGCTACTCCTGCACGCGATAGGGAAAAATGGAAGTGCTGGTGGTACCGCTCGAGTCACTCTACGATCATCGTGACGACAGGCTATACAGGTGATGTGGTGTTTTGTAGATAATGCGGCGTTGATTCTTTATATATAGAGAGCTTGTTCCCTTGGAAAGGTCTGGCTGAACCGAAATGACCCATGTTACTGATGGAGGCTATAATGCCGTAACACGTGTCTAGCACTGTATACGTATCATAACAGCCCTCATCATAGGCTCAAGAAATAAGATTGAATTTTTCGTAGGTTATAATAAGGTAGCCACACGTATTGCATACCTAGATTAGTGGGAAATTCGCTCAGTTCTTGTCAAGAACTCTAGTGGATATAAAGTTTCAGCAAAATCCCTCAGACTGGGCATTGTAGGTAATAGTACAAATCAAATTTTCCTGGAACTTACCATCGATGTTCCGCTTCTTAAAAGCTTTCCTCGGCATCAGTCCGCGGCTGGCGAGAATGTGGGAGAATGCCACATAGGCGCATGTTGCGAAGAAGACAGTTGACTCTGACACACCCCTTATGTCGTTAGAAAACGTTGATGACCCACTAAAAGTATATTTGACTTAGTTTGACCTATGTTTTTTCCAACTGCAATTATTTGAAATGGCTGACTGTTACTGAATGTTCAAATATGAAGATGCTGAAAGATTTCAATGGCACATCCTTTTGAACCACATGTCCTTGGTAAGCCAGCCATCACAAGGCACATTTTTGGCCTATTGTCTTTCACTCATATAGCCGCTTCAGGGCACACACTTCTATGACAAGTAAAAGGATAAAAGGTAAAGCTCTCGGTCGTTGATCACTACCTGACGGATTTGCCACGCATTAGCCTTCAATTTTAATTCAGTTTAAGGTGGTTGAACGCAGACCTGGAATTTCACAGTGACTCGCGATGGCCTCCCATTTATGAGTCACTGCTACTTAGTATCCTAGACAAGTCAAGTCTGAGATTGTCTGGTACCAATTTACCAACCCTACAGGGTGGGTAGGCTTGGTATGCGTGAGCGCGAGATTGAACCAACGACACTGCGTGCGACGCAAAGCACCCTGACCACTGCGCCACATGTGCTCCCGTCTATAACAGTATTCCACTAAAATGCCCTAGCATTCTGAACGTTTCCTTTACCCTAGAAACTATTCTGCAATAGTCGCGCCACTTTATCGAAAAAATCGGTAAGCTACTTTATGTAAATCCAAGAATTCTTAGATTTTTAATGCTTTTTCGCAGTGTTACGATGTTTCAAATATACCTAGCAGAATTGAATGGTAAGCAAAATTCCGACCTCAGACGGGAGTTAAACCAGCGTTGCACTCATAGGGGCGGGAAGTGTGCTTGTTATCACAACACCACCAACGCCAAAACTTCCCACCACTCGTTCTTCAATATTTCCTTTCTTATATTCAAACGAACTCCAAATTCTACTTAATACACACTCACAACAAATCTCTTTCAAAAGACTAAAGCGTTTTGATCTCGATAACTACTTGTATCCCATGTGCCACAACTAACAATATGTAGGAAAATAAGTGAAACAGCCGTGAATGAAACTCGTTAGCGATTGCCTTTCTTCGCTGCTTTCGCCAGTTTTCAGTTTTCCGATAACCATCACAGAGCCTCGCGGTGGCCCTTCGCTGCAACGAGTCAGTGCTGCTTATCCTCCCAGACAAGTCCGAGACTAGTTTAGTACCGGTTTACCGACCCCTGAGAGTGGATGGCTTCGTAGGCCATGGAGGCGAGGTCGAACTACCGACCTTGTGTGCGGCGCAGAGCACCTCTAACCACTGCACCACATGCGCACCATCAGCATTATGTAAGAATATAAGTGAGACAACCAAACACGAAAGCCATAAGCATTTGCCTGTCTTCGCAGGCTTCGCCGGACTTCAGCTTCGCGATAATGTCAGTATTCTACCAGATGAATCACCCGTGCAATTCGATAAATGGAATTGCGCGCTACTAAGGATCGTGCGCTCCGCGGCCGCCTAGTTGTCTTTGCGACTTCATAGTGAAATTTCGGGAAGTTTTTCGATTATGTGGCTGTCCTAATCTACGATGTCCTGTCCCAACAAAAAGCTGAATTATTGTTGCACACAGGATATGCATCAGAGGAAGAAAACTGGCATCAAAAAGATCATAAATGTACGACATTCCTATCGACAGTCGGCTTTCCCACGGCAGTCGTATTTGATTTCGATGTAAACGGAGCCATATTTCTGTAATATTAAGCGATTATAGTTTAGAATTCGGGTCGAAAACACATTGCATAGAATGCATATCGATCGTTGGAGCAAAGTGACGTCTATCAGGACGAAATTGCCCTGCTCGACATCGAAATTCGCGAGAAAATTGGAAAAAAGTAGTACGCAGACAATCGTATTTCTGAAAGACAATCGACTTAAGAAGAGAGTGAAAACGAATATGATATTTGTGGGAGAAGGCGAGAGAGCACTGGAGACCGACCGACCGACGGGAAGACAGCACAGCAACTACGGGCCGCAGCGCACCGCAACGCACAAGTCAGATGAGGGCAGCTAAGAAGCGTGTGTGGAAGCGCGCGCGAAATTTGAATGTGAATTTGTCAAGACCGACGATTTGAGAACTTCAGATGAAATCGCTGCCCGGAGCGCGATTTCTGCGGCATTTAGTTGGGAGCTTTCTTTTCTTCCTATTAAGGAAATTCCCATGATTTTCGTTTCACTTTGATAGTTCACGGCTCACACTCTCATGTGCTTTTGGTGCAAATGTTACCTTTTGAGTGAAGAAACACCCGCGTAGAGCATGTAGTGCTGCTATTTTTGGCGTTTATTCAATTTTAATAATTTCTACAAAGAACATTAAGATAGAAGTTTTTGGTTTTATCATCCTCTTATTACATATAATAACAAAAAAAACTGTTGTATTCAATGAAAGTTGATTGGCGAGAAATATTCTACAAAAATCATCTATCACATTGCATGCCACCTCAGTTCATCGATAACTCTAACAGTTTTCATAATACTAGTGTACTTTTGTGCTTACAACTTCTACTGAATTGTAGAAAAGACTTTTTTCTATCGTATCATAGGCATAAGAGCCTTTATCATCCAGTTGTGGCGCCAAGGCCGAGTGGTTGTGATGCTTCTTGCGGCGCGTGTGGAGCCGAGCTCCACCTCCTCCCCCCCTCCCCCTCCCTCAGACTCTCTGGCAGTTAACATCGATACCTTATGGAACGCCACAGCCACGCTATCCTCGAGATTTCAAGGAGACGTAGTCGACCAGTATTCTACGACGCTCAAGAGGAAGACGAAAAACGAATTGAATGCTAGAATTACGGGGATTCGAACAATAAACATTGCTGTGAAAATAGATCAGATAAACAAATAAAAAATGTTATTTCAGTCTGTAACTCAATCAATTCGTGCTCGCTAGATCCGTTCTAGCGTAGAAAGAGTGGTGGCAAAACGGGCGCCAGTAGCGTAACGGGTTAGAGCACGAGCTCACGGATAGAGTGAGATGCAGGTTCGAGTCCCAACTGACGCGAAAGATTTGCACATCACTCTACATCACTGGGTATATTTGTAGTATCATACCACAGCAAGAAGCAGTAAATAAGCAAATTTTCTTTAATTTGGTTTGATTTAATTATTCATTTAATAGCTAGTGAATAAGATAAAAAGATGGTGAACGGTGTTTGTTGCAAAGGACTCTTTTTTTTACGAAATTGTATTGCAAATACCCTATCGGGCTTGAAATGTACCTAAGAGAATTGAGTGTCGCGCAAAAATTCGGTCTCAGACGGAAGTTGAACCCGTATTTCACCGTTCCGGGGGGCGCGTGCTACCACTACACCACCTAGGCCACCGCATACTCACACTTAAGTGGGTTCATATAGCGAAATTGCTTATTCGGCAAATCTAATAAGGTTTGGTGGTTATAGCTATGATAGAGAGATATTGAAGAATGAGTGATGGGTAAGCGGTGGCCCCAGTGGTGTAATGGTAACACGCCCTGCTGGGATGGGTGAAACGCGGGTTCAACTCCCAACTGAGGTCGAGTTTTTGCTTACCACTCAATTCTATGAGGTATATTTGAAACACCATAACACTGCGAAAAAGCAGCAAAAACACAGGAATTTATGGATTTAACATCAAGCTCTTATTGACTGCATTCAGAGAGAGCAAATTCCTTGTAGGCTATGAGAAAGCAATGATTTTGGGTGTTGTGAGAAGAAATGCGCCTAGATAGATATTTTGAATAATAGTTTTGTCGTGCGTTCATAAGAAGTATGATCCAACAGATCTATTTTTATTTAATCGCACTTTGCTATGGTATAATGTAATGGGAGCGCATGTGGCGCAGCGGTTAGAGGTACTCTGCGTCGCACACAAGGTCTATAGTTCGGTCTCGTGCTCATGGCTCATCACGATCTAACCCTTCGAGGTCGGTAGACTGATCTTGGGCTGGTCTCTGACTTGTCTGACAGGATAAGCAGCGCTGACTCGATACAGCTGCAGGCCACCACGAGTCATTGTAAAGGTCAGACATGCATCAAATCACTTCAAACGAAAGGTAGAAATTGAAGACAAATGCATGACGTATCCCTCATGGATTGACAACGCCGAGTCTTTGCCGTTTTAGCTTTTTTATGATGTTATGAATACACCCAATGATGCAGATTGATGTGCAAAACATTCACGTCAAAAAGGAATCGAACTCGAATTGTCGGAGGTCGAAGCACGCGCCCCCGGATAGGGTAAAGTGCGGGTTCGAGTGCCACCCAACGGAAAAGTTTTTCACATCACTCTACGTCATTTGATATATCCATAACATCGTATCACCGCAGAAAGAGGTCAAATAAAAATGAATCTGTTCGATCATCCAATGCCAAGTATCTGTCAACACCACAGGATTCAATGCCTATATCGGTTATCAGGACCAAACCGCTGACGGTTGACTACTGACAGGTAGATGCGCTCCAGCGTAGAAAGAATGGTGGCAAGACAAGCCTCAGTAGTGCAACGGGATACAGCACGCTTCCCGATACTTTGAAATGCGGGTTCGAGTCCCGCGTGACGCATAAGTTTTGCACAATTACTTCACGTCATTGTGTATATCCATAAGAAGACTTTGGAATTCTCCTCAATTGATTGCTGACAAACATTGTTTATAATATGTAAGCAGCCAGTCGACTCCTACGACTTCACATTGATTCGTCATAGTTGTACAACATATTACATCAAAATGCACAATGTGACAAGTTTGAAATTAGTGCTTTTTCCAAAAAAAAAGGAAAATTCGAAAATGAGAAGTAATTCAGGAGACTTTTATTTGCTTATAACTTTAGAAAATAGTCACATCGTTATTTAAGTACTGGTCATGGAAGAACTAGTTGGAAGTGAAAAACAGGAGAGAATCAATGAAGGACAAATTTTTCCTTTCTTTCCGAGTGTTTTCTTAAGGCGGCGACTCAAATTTCAATATGAAAGATAATCATTTTTGAGCCACGCATGTCATGTGATCTGTCATAAGGGCAGACTCATAGAGCCCGATACACGTGCTTCAGCTTTGACGGTCTCCCTTATAACAGACCACATGACATGAGTGGCTCAAAATGATTATCTAGCATGATAAAAAAGGACTGATTATTTAAGTGCACATCTTATTACTGATATCCAATAAGAACGAGTCTGTGTCCAGTTCGTTGCTAATTTCAATAGAAATTCGTAATTACAACCAATTTTCGAGAATTAGGGAGTATCCAAAATCATTTTTTTTGACCGCCTATTGCGGTGTTATGATGCTTCTATAAACCCAATGATGTAAAGTGGTGTGCAAAAACGTTTGCGTCAGCCGGGATTCAAACCCAGGTCTTACTCTTTCCGCGAGCATGTGCTAAACCGTTGCACCACGACGCTCGTTTTGCTCTCAACTCAGAAAGAGTAAGATATGGGTTCAAATCCCTGCTGATGCAAACGTTTTTGCACACCACTCTACATCATGGGGCTCATAGAAACATCATAACACCGCAATATGCGGTCAAATAAAATGATTTCGGATTGATTATTGAACCAATATGTATCAACAAAAGTGGATTTAATGTCAATAATGACTGCCCCGCCACACCGTAGACGGTTGGCTGTTGACAGATAACGCGTTGTAGCGTAGAAAGAGTGGAGTTCAAAACGAGCGTCGGTGGTGCAACGGTTTAGCATATGCTCCCGGAAAGAGTAAGATCTGGGTTCAAATCCCGGCTGACGCAAACGTTTTTGCACACCACTCTACATCAATTAGGGAGTATATTTTTCTATCTTCCCTTCAGATCAAGCGACGTAAGCATCGTTATCACAGGTATTTAAGAAGCAGTGGTCCAGGAAACTCTTCGAGACTGTGAGAAATCCATTTAAGGCATGACATCTCTAATTGCTCTTTATGACAGAATTTGATTATTTCGAAATTCTGAGAAAATGTTTAGAGGGGGGGGGGGGGGGGTGAAGTGGTCGAGTGGCTGTGCTGCTCGTCGAGGCGGGCGCGAATTCGAGCTCCACCCCAACACTCTCCGGCAGTCATCAACGATGGTCCTGCTCAGAATTTTGTAGTTTGGTAAACTGCAGTTCTTGTAAGTTGTCGATGCTCGCAAACGAATGTCCAGCCAACCAATGTTCTTTGTTTTTACGTTCCCATCGCTAGATGAACTTGCCAATTTTTATGCTCCAAACCTTTTTCATGTGGTATGAGCAAGAAATTCCTTGCGTGCTTGAAGCTAACCCTGTGCGTTGATTTTATGTAACTGTGGGCTTACTGTAGCTCTTCATCCGTATACTCTTTGTCTATAGTTCATATATACGCTTTCTTCATGACCGGAAAAGTTGGTTGTCATCAGTTAGCAGTCAGCATGTCAGTCGTTGAGGTTACTGTAATTTTACCGCGCTCAGTCCTCTCATCCGATTGGTCTACTTCCAGTTTATAAACAGTAGACTTGTTTAATCGTGCCGTGTTCTACGCTCTTAGTATCAGGTCAGTGTCAATTGCACTTACTTTGATAAGCATGAGTTACCTCCCATGCATGTCGTAGGAATGTTGTAGTTTCTTACGTGATATTTTTCCCTGAAGATCCCTTATTTTCACTTTGTTACAAGCCTTCGCCATGTTCAGCGATGCAGTCGAACTTTGTGTTTCACTGCGTCGTTAGTGGAGAAAGTGTCTTTCACAGCGAGCTGCAGTCGTAGAAATTAACGAAGTTGAAGGGGAAGGCACAACAAGCAAATCTGCTGCTGGACGTTGGATTCAACGCTTCTTAATGGGGCAAATGACCTCGAAGACAAGCGTCGTTCAGGAAGTCTAACGAAGTTTAACAATAAGGATTCGAGTACTGCTTTAGAAGATAGACTATCGTCAAGTGCTCGTCAATTAAATTAATGAACGTTACTTCGACCAAATCTGAAATTTGGCCGACCGATGGTAGAAAGTCGTAGAAAGCTATGGCCTCTATTTTGAAGAATAGTCATTATTCTTTTTGTTTGAAATTCGTGCACCATTACCAATTTTTTACAAATCCTCCAGAAATTCGCTTACAACCTTATAATATGAAAGGAGAACTACTGGTCTGATTGTTTAAGGTGAAGAAGTTGAAAATGACGGAGCTCCATGATTCATCCACCTTTATGAGAAACTAAGCATTAAGTAGTCAGGGAGCTTCTGCTTAGCCTCACACCGCTTGCGTTCTTAACATCGTTCACTGCACTTTCCTACTTCAATACATTGACAGTTTTACCAGAGTGTAACAACCATTGTGTTTCACGTCAAGACCTGATGCTTCAGTGCATGTTTCGACTAAGAATCTGACACTGTTCCACATTCTCTTCCTCTTATTGATAATATACGATTGCAGAAAAGAAGGCGAGGAAATGGTTCGCAAAGTTCATGGTTGAAGAGAAAAGTCTGGAAGATCAGTAGCGCTTGAACCATTCACAGGAAGCTCCATCAATCTTGCACGCCGCTTCACTAGCACTATCCCCTACGCGCCATCCGTGCATGAGTGGCAAGTGAATTTATGCTCCAGACTGCTCCATCTTGAAAGAAGCATAGGCAAGTTGTGCACCAAAACATTCGGAAGAAAATCCACAATTGAATTATCTCAAACCTCGTAATTTTAGTTATTTCTGGTTGGTAAATTTGGCATAGCAGATGGATGATGGAACCCTTATCACCTTAGATGGGGGTGGTGGGACTTGTTGGTTTAGTGACGGTAACGTTAATCCCTTTCGTGCACCAATTCGCTTCTGTCTAGACCATGACACTGTAGCCTAACAAGGGACCCCATATTGTCTACGCTAATTCAACAATTTTTAATATGTGGCAATGAAATGGCCCTTATTATAGCTTAACATTCCTTGTTGCTTACTGAAAGCCGAACAACACAACGACCGGGAGAAAAACCAGTTCGCCGCATAGTTTTCCTTTGCTTTTAGGTCAACCCTCGTGATGGAAAGAATTGACAGCGATGTTGTACACTTCTACAGCCAGTTGTACTTTCTACACTTTTTTCTTTCAGAGTAAACGAACATGCACAGCGAATTTTTCGTGGCACCACTGAGCTCACTTTAACAATTTAATTTCCATTTGACAAACAACTTGCCTTCCCTGGTCACAATTTTCCCGTTTCGCTGATCTTCAAAGAAGATGACAATGCGTTAGCCAAACATCAAAGAACCCTTTTAGCTGTATGGCATTTGTCCTTGTACACCGCTTAACACTGGTGATTTTCTTAAGGCGAGCTCACCTTTGCTTGCTGACATCTGTCAATTTTGAAGTCTCATTGGAGATCTACGAATGTGAATAGCAACACGATTTAATGCTTATATTGCAGCTAGGGAGTTGTTTTAAGAAATGAATAAGTGCATAGAAAGATCTTGCACTGTACTTATCTCTTTATTATTTTTACAATTCACCATTTATTATCCTGTGATCGCATAGATTTCAATTCACTTGATTCCAGATATCATCACAAGTGCTCGTTTAGTTCGAGCACATGAAAACGTAATTGAATGTGTCA